GGGCTTCAGAAATAAAATTAGCATTTAGGAGGTATTTTATAGATTTTTCAACAGCATCCGCTTTTTCAGGAGACTGCCTACGTCTATGTTGAACTACAGCCCTGCGGAAGGACCTATGGTCAACTGATGACAGGCAACGTCAGGGTCCATCCCAAGCATCTCCGCAACGCTCCATGCGATCAAGTCAACGTTTTTCCTTAGGCGGGCCTTCAGTTGCTTCCTTACTAAGTCAGGGAGTCTCGTGCCGATCTTCAGGCCTTTGTCTGGGTCATTGCTGAGGAGAATGAGCTCGAACTCGCCATCTAGAATGGGGTGCATAGGATAAAGAGGTTCCCCTTCGTTACCAAATGTTAGAGAAGCATTTGATGTTGCTTTGTTCTGCTTCTGCTCATTGGTGAAGCGGCTGTCGAGGTCGACTGAGTTGATGCGAGGCAATGACTTCCGCTCCTCGGATTGAGCTGGCTTGATGGCAGTCTTAGGTGTCATATTGATCGAGTTCTGCCCCTTTATGGCTGCTTCGAAGCACCTTCTCGCGGCGTCAATGTCCCCATGAAGAGTGACGACGCGACCACTGGTCTACGTCCCCGACGAGGCCCACACACCCTTGTCTACTCACAACACATGGGAAAACTTCCCCTCCGCTATGGTCATATCTAGCGGAGGATTTAACAAGCTCACCGTGGGATCAGTGAAAACAAAATTCAATGAGTAGATTGACATAAGCTCGAACCACAATGCGACCCTCGTCAGGTTCCACGGAAAACCAGATCCCATTACCTTCTACCTCGAGGAACTTCCAGGCGGTTCTCCCAACTCCAGTATTCCTTTGCTCGTGAGAGCACAAATGGCTAACTTCGACGTCCGCCGCATCCTGGTCGACCAAGGGAGCTCCGATCCCACGGTGAGCTTGTTAAATCCTCCGCTAGATATGACCATAGCGGAGGGGAAGTTTTCCCATGTGCTGTGAGTAGACAAGGGTGTGTCGGCCTCGTTGGGGACGTAGAAGTCCTCAAGCCGAGAGACGCATAGAGCAATCTGTAAGCTGGCGTCGTCAGAGGGTGGTGTTTCCTCCTCAACCTTCTTCGTCTCACGGACGTCCTGTCGAGGAGCCTCGTTCCACTTGGTGTACTGTTTCAGACGTCCTTCCTTGATGAGGATCTTGATTTCATCCTTGAGGTGGATGCAGTCTTCGGTGACGTGCCCGTGGGTCTTTTGGAAACGGTAGTATTTATATTTGTCGACGTTTGGCTTAGGGGTGTCGGCCTGGGAAAACGAACCCCACGCTGTTTGAATTCCGAGTTTATACACTCGGCCAGGATTCCCTCGTGGGGATCGGTTAGCAGCGTGTACTCAGCAAAATGTCATGCCGGTCCTCTGTGCTCGCGAGAGTCGCGAGGCTTATCATCTCTTTTTTTCTCCCCGCCTCGTCGAGGAGCCACAAGGTCGTCATATTTTGAGACTTTGGTGTTCTCTTGGTTGCGTGAGTCGTGGACATTGTTCGCAGCCTCTTTCTCCTCGTACTGGATGTAAGCCTAGGCTTTGAGGAGGAGGTCATCCAGCGATCTAGGCATTTCGATGCCAACTGCTTTGTCGAAGTCATTGCGGGGGCGCAACCCTCGCTCGAGCAGGTTACTTTTCATATGGTCAGTTGTGATGATTTGGACGTCTTCTCAGTTGAACCTCTCTATGTAGGCTCGGAGAGATTCGTCTTTCCCTTGTATGATGGTCTCGAGTGACGCCTTAGATTTTGGATTTCGTCGAGAGGCAGTGAAATGCCTGGTGAACTGGGTTTTCAGATCCTTCTAGGAAGTGATGGACTCTGAGGCGAGGATTTTGTACCATGTCATGGCACCCTTCCTCACAGTTGTGGGGAAAAGTCTGCACTTGATGGCGCCTCTGACGTTGCGGTAGTCGAGCATCGCATCGATGTTTTCGATGTGATAGTCTGGGTCCTTCGTGCCATTATAAGTTCCCAGACTTGGCAGTTTTTCCATCCCGGCGGGGATGGAAGTTTCCATAATTGCTCGGGACAATGAACCTCGAGGGTCGTCTTCGTCGCTTCGGACTGGTGAAATTGACAAGGAGGGATCGTGCTGAGGGCTTCTTTCATGGTGCGGTGAGTTTCTTGGTCGAACCATCGACTTGTCCAGTTGCCGCCGGCTTTGATCTTCTTGGGAACGGGGGAGCACCGCTCCTTGCGGGGAGGAGTACAATCACACTTCTTGGTAATCGCAGGTTATGGCCTTTCTAGCTGCGGGTGACGTATGGGATGTCGCAGGGAGAGGCTTTGAGACTCATTCTATTGGTGTCTCTGCGGGAGAGAGTGTGGGCGGGTGCCTCGTCGTTGCGGGGACGGGCTACGAGATTCTGACCATCGATGTCTCCGCGGAGGAGAGCGTGATCGGCGGTCTTTCCCCAACACTCTAATCTGTTCATTATGTTGAAAAATCATGAAGTTGGTCTGGTTGATTGCTGCGAAAAGGGCCACCATGGTAGGATCAACGTTGGGTGGTACTGTAATTGGTTGAAAGACCCTCAGATTCTCAAAATGTTGGACGACTTTGTAGGACGCATTGTCGGAGGAGGGAGAGGCGGTGAGTCCGTATCTAGGGTCACCCTTTTCAACAACGGTCATCCCATTGTTGTTGTGGTCACCGCCGGCTGTGAAGGCGGTGAAGGCAATTTCATGAACGTTATCGTCAGCGTGTTGATTGGCAATGATGATCGTTAAGTTTTTGAAAGTTTGCTTTGGTCTTTAGGTTTTAGAGAAAGAAAAGACGGAGGAGCAAAGGGTTCCCACAGACGACGCCACTGATCTTATCGAGATCAGAGATTCAATCAGCGGCCAACAACACATCGTGAACTCCAAATTCGCCATTGATGGAGAAGAGGAGGGGGTGTACCTGCAAGACACTCTGATGTCAAAGTAAGTTTTAGAGTGAAAAGAGAAAGAGCAAGTATAGAGTAGTGAGAATGAATTCAGAATACCTGACCCTCATGCGGAGGAGGGTATTTATAGTGTGCCTCTGACGCTGAGCCAAATGTCATATGTTGTGGGCTGGATCGTTAGGCCCACAACGGATGACTGTCAAGATCTTACGTGAAAGTAGGAAAGACCAGCATGTTGTCTTCATCTTGGGTTAACTGTCCCACGAACTTCGTGGTGGATTCGCCCGTTCCTTAGGGCAAAACTACCCCGCAAAAAGTGTGAGTTCAGTTGGTGACATGTCCTCGCGTGAGGAGCACGTGGAGAACATGACCTCCAATGGCTATGGAGGATTAGGCCTTTGAATTGGGTTGTCCTTGACGAGGCACCGAATTTGGCCTGCTCGACTATGGGTCGTCCATAAGTCCAATCCAGAACAATATATATCTCATATATTACAATTATATATCAATTTCTAATACAACACAACAACTTATAAATAAAGTAAATTATTACAAACAAAATAATAAATAAAAATGAATAAAATAAAACAAAAGAAAGTTAAATAATAATAATAAAAATAATGGAGTTGTCGCTAACAAAAATGGATAAATTATAATAAGGTGAAAAATTAACATAGACAAATTAGGATTATAATAAAAATGAGGGCAATCATGTAAATATAAGAAAAATAGATTTTATTATAACTCACCTCCCTCCTCTCTCTTTCTTTCCAAAAATCTCTAATTCGAAAGACAAAAACTACTCCAGGTACCTCGTCTCCCCACATAAAAAATTGAACCAAACATAATTAATTTAAAATATCTTCTCCCGTCGTAAAAAAATTGAACCAAACATAATTAATTTAAAATATTCCTTTCCCTCCCCTCACGTCATAAAAAGTTGAATCAAACATATTTTAATTTAAAATATTCTCTCCCCTCCTAAAAAAATTAAACCAAACATACTCAATTTAAAATATTTCTCCCCCTCCCCTCCGACATAAAAAATTGAACCAAACATACTTAATTTAAAATATTCTCTCTTCCTCTCATAAAAAATTGAACCAAACATACTACTCCGTCCCATATTATAAGCAAATTTTACTTTTTAAATATATTAATTATTCAATATATTTAAAAAGTAAATTTTGCTTATAATATGAAACGAATGGAATACTTAATTTAAAATATTTCCTCCTTTCCCCTCCCCTCCCTTCATAAAAAAATTGAACCAAACATACTACTCCGTCCCATATTATAAACAAATTTTACTTTTTAGATATATTAATTATTCAATATATTTAAAAAGTAAGTTTTGCTTATACTATAAAACGAAGGGAGTACTTAATTTAAAATATTTCCTCCCCTTATAAAAAAAATTATACCAAACATACTTAATTTAAATATTCCCTCCCTCCCCTAAAAAAACCCTACCAAACTTACCCTAACAAAAAGTTTCTTAACAATATGCAACAAAAACTTACCATTCATCAATGCTCCAAATCTTTACATTAAATTTCTCTACATCAGGTAACTATAATGAAATTTTAAAGACAACAAAATTTTGGAAAAGAATGTGCTTGGTAATAGAATGTTTTACTCATTGACATGTAAAAAAGGTAAATTATGGACATTTTAGTTAAAGTTTTAGTGGATGAGAAATTTAAGTCATTGTATTGTATGTGACTCTTGAAAGTGAAGTTGATTTACGAAGGCAAAATTGAAGCTAATCAGGTCGATGCTCCATAGATACGCGATAACTGTCCGCCTTCTTGTATTTCATGTCCATGTTCCCCATAATGCATGAAAACCAGAAGCACCATTTCGACAAAGAACAAGATGCTTGCAGCTTGTAACCAACCTCTATGGTCTGTTCTCTGATTATCTCAACTTGTCGAGATGTCTTGCATTGCAAAGACAATCATGCAATACAAATCTTGTTTTGTTTCCACGGTGATTAGTTTGAGGCCGTTCAACATAGTAAATCCGCTCTGTATTTATAAAATGTGACGTATTATGCATTGAGTCAAGTATCCAACTTACACGTTGGTAGAACCGAACGCGTGAAGAAACTAGTACTTTATTAGCGAAGCTAGTGAAGCATGAAGTTCAGCCATGCAATTAAAGATCCAATTAAGAAGTTGTTCTTTCGGTAGCTCTAGTAGAAGCTCAGCCTGCAGCAGAAAAATAGACAGACGAAATACATAAGAAGTTAACAAAGATCACTGATTAAAAAAACCGAGAAACGGAGAAAGTTACCTTAATTTGGTCCCCTTCAAAAACCAATGAATTTTTATATGTATCCGAAGTCATTGATTCTGTCATCATCTTGAAAACCTTTTTACTCATTTTTGTTTTCATATACACTGTCTTCCCTGAAGAGGAAATTTTGATTACCCCTATATCAGCCGCCATTCTCCTCAAGTAAAGCTTCTTTAAGATAATCTCCATGGGTTGAGGCTCTTTGCCGTATTGGCGGCGAAAATTCTCTGTAAATTGCACCAGACTCCAAATGTCTTTCTCGGCAACTCGCTCAGCCTCGTTTATTATTTCCATAGGGTTCTCAAGATGATTTATGTAGTTAGAAGAAAGGTGAGGATTGATATTTAAGTCAACCTAAGTAACAAAGAAAATAAAATGCATCATCTGTAACAATAGCGTTAACACTTGTTTCTTTAATCCACTGGTAAATTTTTCTCTAATATGCATACCTGCACTGAGTGATAAGGAACTGATGCAACACGGTGATCTTCAACCTGGATGTAATCCCAATCCCAATGCCAAATTAATTGTGTTAAACACATTTCTATACTCAATTTCATTCTTCAAAGGTCTCAACCAAAAAGATGATTATGAAAAACTAACAGAAAACCAAAATAAGAAACATATCACAATTCAAAGTTTACCTTGGATAAACTCTCAAAGAGCATCTCAAAGAAAAGATCGATGCCAACATTTCCAACATCTCCTGTTTGTTGCTCGCCGAAAATAGCACCAAAACCTCTTATACCCATGTCTTTCTCGGCTAGTTGGAAGCCTTGACCAAGTTCTCGACATTCTTCAAGGGCTGCAAGTCTCTCCTATAGGAAATCACTAAGGAGATGTTAGTTTTGTTCCATGATATTTGTTTATCATTTCTAATTAGTTGTGTGTTTTTTTCATGCAATATGTTTCAGAACTAAAAGCTAAAGATTGATCAGAAACATACCAATGCTTGATCAGAGAGCAAATTCTTATCAGGATAAAATAAGTACGCATATGCTTCCTTGTCTGCTCGCCCAACCCTTCCACGCAACTACCAATATATTGAAAAAGAAAAAATTGCCTATATTAGTGAAACATAAATAAAAGATATAATCTTCCTTTCGTTGTTCCAAAAAATTTATCACTCTTTCAGCTAGTTGTTAGGGTTGTGTTTACTGTTTAGCATATCCCAAATTCTAAGATATTGCATCATAATACATTTCAAACATAATAACGATGATGATCAATTCTATAGAATGCTTGGAGCCAACAACAAAAAATACGACCAACATTAAAAAAATGTTCAGAGTAGATTAGGAAGAACAAAACCTGGTACAACTGTGCAAGACCAAAGTAATGAACATCCTGAATGATGATGGTGTTTGCATTTTGAATATCAAGCCCACTTTCAACTATAGTTGTGCTGATAAGGATTTTTATTTCACCTTGAGCAAACTTCTCCATGGTATCCTCTAATTCATTCGAGTATTGCTGCACAAGAAATAAACTCAAATTAATGCAGAGACAAAATATCATTATTTGTATGTTATAATATGTATATACTTTTGATAAAATACCTTCCCATGGGCAATGGCCATTTTCACATTGGGGAATGCCTCTGCAAGAAATTCCATTGATTCTTCAAGTCCTGTAAGAAAAACAATTGTTGAGAAGCCAGAGCCAATACTATAACAGAGGCACATTAATATGCTTATCGGCGCCACTTTTTTGTGTGACTCGACAACAATGATTCTGAAATGATCAGTTGAGAATCACCTCTAATACGTGGCATAACATAAAAAACTTGACCACCGCGATCCAGCTCATACTCGACGGCTGATATTGCTCTCTGCTCACTAAATGCAGAAAGTTTGGTCTTTATAGGAACTCTTTCTGGAGGTGGAGTTGAAATTAAACTGAAAATAGAAATCAACGATAGAAATTACAATTGTATTTTACCTAAGCTCGGAAGTTAGTTCAGCTTTGTGGAAAGGTTTGTTACCTAGCATCACGAAATCCTGTCAGCGCTAAATAAAGAGTCCGTGGAATAGGAGTTGCAGATAAAGTAAGTACGTCGACAGAAGTTTTAAGAGAAGCAATTCTCTCCTTCTGTTTGACACCAAACCTCTGCAATGCGATAAATCATTGCTTAATGGAGGGGGAGAGTTACAGTTTAATGACAAGAAGGAAAATATTTATTGCAGATATTTTGTAAACCTGTTCCTCATCAACCACAAGCAAGCCAAGATTGCTATAAACAACACGGCTTCCAAGGAGTGCGTGAGTTCCAACAGTAATATCTAGGTCACCACTCTTAATCATTTTCAAGTATGTTTCCTTCTCTGATTTGGTCTGCAAGTAGAGTGGATAAGTGAAATGGCTGTAATTGGTATAAAAGTGAAGTTTATATTTATTTAACCATAATTATGTTGCCAAAACTATGACTAAAATGGGAAAAATAATCATAGTCATACCTGAAACCTGCTTAGTAATCCAATTTTGATATCAGGATATACAGAAAATCGCTCTGAAATAGTATTAAAATGTTGCTTTGCTAGAACTATTGTCGGTGCGAGAACCATCGCTTGTTTTTTAGCTGCGACTACACAGTGGATAGCACGCAGCGCGACCTCGGTTTTACCAAAACCAACATCTCCACATATTAATCTGTCCATTGGAGTCTCTCGCTCCGTCAAATCGTTTTCAACATCAATAAAAGCCTGCAAGAATATAGCAATTGGAAGAGATGATATAACAAATAATCATCAAATAAACATACAATATCAAGATGTGAACTTCGATATATCGGTGCTTAAAAGTTAGACTAGACTAAAAAAGCATAAATTGACGAATCCCTTTCGACCAAAACACATAGCATTAATAATGACGCCACCTGTTTCTGATCCGGCGTAGGTTCATAAGCAAATTTTGCTGCGAATTCAGCCACGACAGGACTTTTGGGATAGGGAGGCCTTTTTTGTTTAAGCCTATGCAGATAGAGTTCCATCAAGTCAACAACCATCTTCTGTATGGCAACCTTCCCTTTAGTCTTTCTTTTCTCCCATGCACTAGTATCATTCAACTTGCTCAATGTCCTAGGCTTTTTGCTTTCATTTGGACTGCAAAGAAAGGCACACCTCAAAGTCCACACAACAATTAACAAAATCATTCATATATTACTGAAGCAATTCAAATTCCTATTTCACCATCCTATAAAGTTCAACAAATTAAAAAGAAGTAAATAGTCTTTTGGTCCTTAAATCTTTTCTTGAAAGTTTGGTATCTGGCCTTGCGACCGACTTATCCAAGGGGATCAAGCGGGGGCCCCATTTAAAGGCAGGGCAAAGCTCTGTACGGACTGACCTAATACAGGAATTGTTAGGACCTAGCAGGATTCGAACCTGAGACATTGATAGGAGCGCACTCTCAAGATTCAAGCTTTCACCAACAGGCCAACCCCTAGGGTCTTTTTGGTTCCTAAATGTGTAAGGCACGGTCACTATTGTCCTAGAATGCATAAAAATTACAAACATTTCCAAGCTTCCTTTTTGTTAGTAATGTTATGGACTAAATTGACTAACAAAAGAGATATTCCATAACTAAATTAACTAGCAAAAGATACAATTATGCGTGTTTTTGTAGTTCTCATACATTCAATAACTATTGTGACAACGCCTCACATATTTAAAAATCAACTAACAAGTACGCTTTATTCTACTACATAAATCAACTTCTGCCATAATATTTTATTCAAGACCATACTTCTATCTAAATCGTTAATCTCAATATTTTTTTAATAATTTCTCTTACATTTAAGAATCAAAACGAATATTACTAAATAAAGACTAATTTAACGGTGAAAAAGAAAACTCACAGACTAAATCTATAGAGCATTTTAGAAGCTTGTTTAACAGGAAGCTTTGCCATTCCATCAGCATACTCAATGAAAACATACTCGGTAGGTTCACCCGAATTCTTCGAAACATCGTATTTAATTCTAACAAATTTACCAATACCAACTTTCTTATGCACAACATAGTCCCCAGCACTAAGAGTATAAGGGTCCACCTTATAACTAATGGTACCATCTTTAGCCTCTCTATCACCTTTAAGCTTCTGAAGCCCCCTCTGCTGCTGTTCCTTAACCATTTGTATATACTTATCAGCTTCTTTAGTGTCCATAACAGTCCTCGAAACGTCCCTTTTGCTATACTCGCGACGAATCCTGTCGTTGAGGAGTGAAATAGGGTCATCTTCAGGGTCGGTTTTGGAGGGGGGAGGAGGGGTATAGAGTCCTTGTGTGTGGACTGCATTGAGAGGGAAAAAGGGTGGCGCCGGAAGTAGCTTTTTGTGGTGAAAAGGGTAGTTGAGAATGAAGAGGTTCTTCCATGGTTTTGGGGAAGAGGTGAGTTTGGTGATGAAGGGTGTGGGAATGGGTTGTGGGGTTAAGAGGAACGAAGCCATTGAAATGGAGGAGATGGGTGTTTAGGAATTCAGTGGAGCATTGGGAAAGTTTGAGTCTTTGGAGAAGATAACAGAGATGAAAATGGAGGTTTTAGAGAGGTTTTGTTTCAATTTGGACCAAGAAAGAAACTAAATATCTTAGGAAGAAATAATGGATGATATCTTAGGAGAAGGTGCAGGACACGCAACAGATAATATTGCAATTTAGAAGTGATTTGTTTTGTAATTTTATGCCTTAGCTTGATAAGTTTTTTTTTTAATAGAGGAAGAGTTCGTGACATAAATGAAAAAAATAAATATAAAAATGAGGGATGCAAAAAATCTAACCTCAAATCTAGATAGTTCTAAGGTATGGTAAATCTAACTTGTTTTTTTTGAATCACATTCCATCAAATAAATGAGTTAACCAATAATCTAATGTTAAGCTAAAATGTCTGCTCAATGATTTTTTGTTTTAAATATGTGCGAAGGAAAAAAATTAAAATTCTTCAGTCTAGATAAGCAAATATCTCATATATTTCTAATACTCTAAAGAATAACAGATGAGTTAGCAAAAGCTGAGACAACTAATGTAGAATTAAATTTCAACCACAAAGTCTTCCAATTCCTATCAAAGGCGACTTTCGTGGCTAAAATGACCCCCATAAGCTCGACCTGAATCACATTCACATACCCCAAAGAGCAATCAAAGTTATGAATGTGATCATCAACAACTTCGTGGAAGATTCTGCCACACGCAGTCTGCAAAGGCGAGCCACCAGAAGACCCATCAATATTGATGTAAGTGCTCTTGATTGGCTGCATTTTGTGGCAAAACACTAGAGCATGTATGTATGTCATGACTGATATTAGTGCATACATAATATGGTCTGTGCAGGGTAAGTTGACTTAGCTAAAAGCAAGTTAAGCTGGATGTCATACTCAATGTTATGACTTGGGTCGTATGACATCAAGCGCAAGTTTGTTTTTCTGGTAGCTATAAACCAGGAAACATAATAGGAGCTCAAGCTAGATATCAGGAGACTTTCTAGAAGCCTTAGGCGGACTGAAATATCCCTGAATTAAGTGGCAAGTGTGCAGATTATTGAAAATAGGTTTGTTATGAATAAAACCTAATTTATGCACCAAGGCCCAAAAGGACTGACAACTATTATAAATATCAAAAGAAGCAATCCCGAACAGCAGCTCTTGACAGAAGAATAGAGAGTGCAGATTGCAGAGTCCTTGTGAGTGAAGAAGGCTAGTCTTCACGTGTGAATTGAGTCTTAGGAGTACTTGTACTCCAAGCAAATGTTTGTTGGATGATTGCATTGGTTAGGTAGATTATAAGTTGTGTCTCACTCAAAGCTGTGAAGCAAGAGTGTGTGTACCTTGATCAAAGCTGTGAAGCAAGATCAAGGTGTGTTTGGAGTGTATCTCCATAATTGTTTTATAATTGTGAGTTATATATCACTGTGGTGTGATTGAGGGGGAGTGAGTGGGTATACTCAGGTCTAGAGTGTCTCTAGGCTGAATTGTCATTGGGTAGGTTTTAAGTGAGGAGTGCAAACTGTGTTGTTTGACTCTGAATTAATTCTGCTAATAGTGAAGTTCCTCCCTAGCTTGGTAGCCCCCAGATGTAGGTGTTGTTAACACTGAACTGGGTAAACAATTGTTGTGTTTTTACTGCTTTACTTTACAGTTAAATTAGTTAGTACAGCAGTCAATGTCATAGTGGATGTTTTAACTTTAGGAATAACATCCATCGTGTGTTGGCCAGAATTTTCAATTGGCATCAGAGCAGGCACCCTGCCTGTCTAAATCTGGGTGAGATCTAGGGAAAATAAATTCTGGTACAATGGACAAAGACATAGGATTCACCAATAGACCACCAATCCTGGATGGGCCAAATTATGACTATTGGAAACCAAGGATGATTGCATTCTTGAAATCTATAGACTACAAGGCTTGGAGAGCTGTGAATTCAGGATGGGACCATCCAGTGAAAATTGACAAGGATGGAGCATCAATATTGATTCCTGAAGAGGAATGGAATAAAGAACAAGAAGCTTTGGCTCTTGGCAACTCTAAAGCCTTGAATGCTTTATTCAATGGCATAGATAAAAACATCTTCAGGCTAGTACACCACTGTGAACTAGCAAAGGAGGTTTGGGACACTCTCAAAACCACTCATGAGGGAACCTCAAAAGTAAAGATGTCTAGACAACAAATGTTGACTACAAAATTTGAAAGTCTAAAGATGAAGGAAGATGAGACAATTCATGAGTTTTACATGAATGTACTTGAACTTGCTAACAGCTCAGGAGCTTTGGGAGAAAAGATGTCTGAAGAGAAGCTTGTGAGGAAAATCCTCAGGTCCCTGCCTAGAAGGTTTACAATGAAGGTCACAGCCATTGAAGAAGCTCAAGACATATGCCACATGAAAGTGCATGAACTCATTGGTTCCCTTCAAACCTTTGAAATGGGAATGAGTGATCAGGCTGTGGAGAAAAAGAACAAAAGCATAGCTCTTGTCTCAAACACTGCTGATTCAGATGAAGAATATGATGAAAAGGAGGAGAATCTGTCTAAAGATATTGCCTTGCTTGGAAGACAGTTCAACAAACTGGTCAAAAGGATAGATGCTAGGTCTAAACCTTATACCAAAAGCATGCCTTCCGATAAAGAGAAATCTGAAGATAAAGTCAGCCAAAGCAGAGGAGTACAATGCCATGAGTGTGAGGGATATGGACATATTAGAAAGGAATGTCCCACATATCTCAAAAAGAAGGGAAAAGGCCTAACAGTCACTTGGTCTGATGAAGATTCTGACAGTGGATCAGAAGAGGAATCAGCTAAACATGTCACTGCTCTGAATAGTGTGTGCATCTCTGATGGTGATTCAAGTGATGAAGAGTTATCCTTTAAGGAGCTTGCAGCCTCATACAAAAAACTTCACATCAGAAGTATAGAACTGGTTCAGCAAGGAGAGCAACAGAAGAAAATCATCAAGGAGTTAGAAGCTGAAACGAGAGAGCATCTAGCCACAATAAACACACTCAGAAGTGAAGTGAAGGAGTTGAAAAGTAAAAAGGATCAAATAACAAAATCCATAAGGATGCTCAATTCTGGGACTGACACCCTAGAGAAAATCCTTCAGAGTGGACAAACCTCAGGAGATAGGTCTGAACTAGGATTTGTTGATAAACAAAATCCTGTGCTAAAACTCAAGAGATTACAACCTGAGGTCCAGAAGTTAAAGAGGATGTCACGACCAATGTCACAACATCCAACTAACAGAAACTGGAATCAAGTTAAAAGTTTCCAAGGGTATAGATGTTACCACTGTGGAAAACTTGGTCATATCAAATCTGTGTGTTTCTGGATGCATGGATTTCCTAGTCATCCTCATCAAGAACAGAGAGCTCATGTCAAAAGGCAGCATCAAGCAAGAACTAAGAAGGGTGCCCCTAACAAGCAAAGACATTGGGTTACCAAGAATATGGCTTTAGCAGCTCACACTGCTCTAAGGATGCCAACCCAAGAGGATTGGTACTTTGACAGTGGTTGCTCCAGACATATGACTGAAATTGAGGATCACTTGACAAAACTCAACCCTCATACATCCAGTCATGTAACCTTTTGGTGATGGAGCTAGAGGAAAAATCAGAGGTGTTGGACAACTTGACAGTCTTAAAGCCCCAAAATTGAAGGATGTCTTGCTGGTTAAAGGACTGACTGTTAACCTAATAAGCATAAGTCAGCTATGTGATCAAGGTTTAAAAGTCCACTTTTCAAAGGATAAGTGTGTGGTTGTCAATGAAGAAGGTGAGGAAGAAATGAGGGGATCCAGAGCAATGAATAATTGCTACCTGTGGGAGCCCAGAAGTATCCTCAATAACCTGGATTAAAAGTAAACTAAGGACAAATTATGGCTGGTAAAAGACAGACAAAATAGAAGGTCCAACACATCAGCAAGAAGATCTTCAAAGTATGCTTCAGAAAGAAGGACAGGATGTAAGAAACTTCATGTAGGGAAGCAAGCCAAGAAGGGATACCCAAACATTGGTCATTAGGGAAAGCTAGATAGGCTATACTGGAACCTGATGGAGTCCATGGATGCTACCCTGCCTAAAGGAAGCAATGTTACTCCGGATGTCATGACCTTGTTCTGTGACATCCAGCGCACCATTCAACCAAGTCCTGGTGAGTTATAGCAATTAATGGGAATAGGGAATTATAATTTAAAATTCAATCATTTACTGATTGGTCAAAACATTAAGTTCCCTCCTCATTTGCCATATCATCTATTGAGCCCTTACACATCAAACTTTTACACCACTTGGTTCACGATCAAACTGTTCATCTTCCCCAAAACCTCCAACGAAAGAAAACTCCTCCGTTCTCAATCAACGTATCCAATGATGTCACAACAATCAAAATCATCCCCATCCAAATGCATGTCCAACAAAGCCGATGAGTCAAACCCTAACGAGGTTCTAGAAGTAGCTCCATTGCGCATGGTGACACCGGATGGATTATTGATGAATGAACCTAGCAAACCTCATGCAAGAAGGCCAAATGACCGTGTCATAGGTCAAGCTCCTTCTTCTACTGCATCTGATGATCTCAACAATGCAGAAGTTAGACGAACCCATCTTGCCATTGCAAAAATAGTCGCCAACACACTCAACATACCCACGTCTTCTAGCTCGAAGAGGTCTGATCCTAAACTGCATGATCAAGCAAATGTCTCACCCAATGTTATAACATCGAAGGACCTTGCACCAAAAGGGAGGAAGAAGGGTGAAGAGGCTAAACAAATGGGTGAAAGTATGCAAGGCACCAAAGATACTGAAGTGGTAGACCTAGACAACTATTCTGACAATGATCTCATAGCCAAACTTAATCCAGGCATAGCCAAAAGGCTGATGACACGAAAAGGGAAAAAGGTAGCTGATCAAAATTCCCCCAAGAAGAAAGATGGTGAGAAGACTGCTGAGCAAGAAACTTCCACAAAG